CTCTCCTTGAAAAATTCCTGTGTGCGCCTCTGAAGCAAGTGATGGGCAAACTACGGTTCACGACTAAATGTGGACCACTTAGAGAAGGGGTGTCAGACTCACACGCGGCCCGCAACAAACATTTTTGAGTCCCGGCCAATAAATCGGCACACAAAAATTTATATAATAAACGTAAAATAACAAACCAACGCGAAATAAAAATAAGATAGGTAGAATTCGCTAAATGTTTTTTTTAAAATTACACTCGTTTATTGCTTATAGTAAACAAAGGCGTGCATTTATTTCGAATATATTTATTAATTTTCTTTTAACATTAAAAATAGGTGGCCCTCAACTTCACAAAAAATAGAACTTGCGGTCAGTAATATCATATTAGTTTGACATGCCTGATCTAGAGCTTTCATTCTGCCATATATTTCAAAACAATCGTATAGAAATTTCAGATTTTAATGTTAAAAGCAAAATTCACATTTGGTAATGTTTTTCATATCTTGCACATCTAAAATTTCAGAAGAAATTTTAATTTATGCATACTCTAAAAATATACATAGAAAAGTTTATATGAATATATGTGTATAAATTTCTGCAGGTTCAAAAAATGGTGCTGGTTTTAAAAAATAAGCAAAATATCATTGAAATATAGGTATTCGTTTCTATGTTTAAATGATCCAATCTTATACTTTTCACTCAGGTGAAATACAAGATTGGATATTGCATTAAAATCTTTGGCATTCTGCCCATTTCTTTTTGTTAATGAAACGTATGTGATTGGAACGTATAAAGGAATTTACGCGATAAGTGCAACTGAGTGACAATCGCGTAAGTCAGGGTATAATTTCCCATATAAATACATATAAATTATTTTTATTTAGGACAGGAGACGAAATGAAATAATATTTATTTAAAAAAATGTTAGATAACACAAATACAAAATCGCAAACCGAAGTTATTTCAATATAGAAGGTTTCATAAAATATTACAAAGTAGTGTTCCGGCTTCCGCAATACAGGGTGCCCGCGCTTAAAGTATCCAAAAGCTATGGCTTATTATTACGAAACTACTCATCAGAATTTAATCTGTTCATCTGTGGACTGGAAATCCCTCCATGATTTTTTGGGTCTAATCCGATCGGCCGCACGTGTGTGCATTATTCGGCAATCGTAGATGATAAACTTGTTGCACTGACTTCATTAGTAATAAGGTGACCAGTATTTACAATGAAAAGGAGAACGAAAAATTTAAGAAAGAATTATAACGTCAACATAACATTTTATTAATTCAAACAAAAATATACGCTTATTGTGCATACATTCCTTTTAATTATTTACGTAAACGAGTATTTTACCATTGAGTAATTTTTTTTTCTTGTCAACATATCATTTTCTTATATATCGGAAATTTCAGAGCAAATATATCCTTCATACTGAATTTTACGCGATAAGCACTGTAGCTAAGATATTAATATTCAATCTTTTGATTTCTCACTTGTCCAAGAATCATCACCAATTGAAAAAAAACTTTTCAACTGCTGCATTAGTTCCAGGGCAGCACAACGTAAAGTCAATAAGAATAATTAAATTTTCATATGGAATGTGTTCATTTTTTTAAATGGTTTAAGTATTTTCACCCATCTTTTATCAATATCTCAGCATGTTGATTTTCAAATTGTTCTAATTCATTAGAATTTAAATGCGCATTCAGTCGTCTTTCTTCTTCAAACTGACCAATGTCATCAACTTTAAAATCAGATATTTCTTTCGATAAAAACTCAATACAATTTTCTTTATTTGCCCACTTTGTTTGCCATGAAGTCTGTTGAAAACTGTTATTTCCTGTCGTGTTTGTTTCAGAACAGTCTTCGACATATTGGAAATATGTTTGGTTCATCTCTGGATACAGAGATTAACAGATCGGTTTTAAAATATTGAAAAGGAAGTAGGAGGACAAGTAGGAGGACACTTTTCGAGGAAGGACAGAACCTATAAAAGGAGGACTGTCCTCCCTAAAGGAGGACGGTTGGTCACCTTATTAGTAAAGATATGGACGCCACAGCAAAAGGTGCAGTGCGTACTTTGGTTAATCGAATTTAAATCAGACACGCGTGTACAGCGAAGTGTTCGAACAAAATGGAATAGAGTCTAATAGACTTATCGGGATTCCTACAAAATGAATCCCAAACACGATCAACAATGTCTTCTATCACGAAAACGAGGATTCGTGCTAGTTCCCGTCTCCTTTAAAGTTTTTTCCCATTGGTGGATAGATTTTGCTGTCGGAGGATTGACATTCCTTTCTGTTTCAACACGTCACTGTACACGTATTACTATATGCGTTCATACCGTCGCTGTACGGTATTACCTCGTAGCATGCTAATAATTTTTTTATTCCTCGTTTAATTGAAAAAATACGCTCATCGTTGCAGTCCATATTTTCTAAAATTCGTAACCCTCTTTTCAGTTAAACTGAGGGCTTCTATCAAATTCCCAACGCCGTCATTCGATCTTATCACAAACCTGGGTCTAAAGCAGCGATACTCAACCTGCGGGCCGCATGTGGCCCACCAAGCCTTTTTAAGTGACCTGGTCATGGCCCATTGCTCTGAGAAATTCACTAAAAAAGAACATTGTATAAAAAATTTGGTGGGAAATTCTTTGTCAAGGAATCAAATATGTCAAATTTACTTTTTGTTGTCGGTGTCGTACGGGTACGAATTGATATTCTTTTTCTATTTGAAAGAGTTACGATTAGTGATAACAGACAACAGTGGAGTGAACAGTGGGTGGAATTAATTTTTAACTATCTTTCATATCTTGCAAGCGAAAAATATTCGAAGAAAATATATCGTTTCAAGACGATTGGGAAATTGACTATTTTATAGCGAAAAACAAACATGGATCAGTAATTGTTTGATTTCTCACGAAAGTCTATTCAAAATTTCAGTCTATTTAAAAAATACAAATAAACAGGAATCATTGAATGACACTTTTCCTCGGATCTTTTTCAAGAGATGATAAATAGGCTTTTTCTTGAATAATCCTTGCAACAGTAACAAAGTGTTTTATCAGTGGTAATATCGCAGCGGTAACAAAGACATCCAATGAACATTGGCGTAGCTAGTTCTGAGTGGGTCCCGTACCAAAACTCCTTCGGGGCCCTTTTTTAGAAAAGAAAGCCCTGATAGTGGAACTGTAGTCACACATGTTGGGGCTCCCGTAGCTTGGGGGCCCCGTATCATTGATACGGTGGTAGCTACGCCCCTGCCCATGAAGTTTGTTATATTATTGGTAATCACATGAAACCATTTACTGGTGCATAGATTGTGAAGAAGTGTTTCGTAAATGCTTCTAATTTAGTGTTAGTAACAAAAATAAAAATAAAAATGTAAAAAAATAATCATTAAAAACAGCAAAACAGGGGTTATAATATTATGATCAATTTTCCACATTTTAAATTTCCAATGTTATCTTGATCTTTCTCCTCCTCCCCCCCCCACCTTCCCTATTTATCCTCATGTTGCGGCCCGCGTGAAATAATTAACATATGTATGCGGCCCAGCAGAAAAAAAGGTTGAGTACCCCTGGACTCCAAAGACTCAAGGTCTCCAATGTCTTGCTCTTGCTCATGCATTTCTATGAGCTCATCAGTTGTCAGCTCCTGATTGTTGGAATAAATCAAGAAGTTGTTGAACGTCATTAATTTCGATTTCTTACTAGATGTGCCGTTGTTTACTCGGATATTTTCAGTCTAATATTTATCACTCGTAATTTGTGTTAAAGATTATTATTGTTGAAGTTTATCGTTACCAATAAATCTCCAGAAAAAAACATTTATGGATCCCAGATTATTTTCATAACACCACACATACGCATCAAAATTCTTTCAACCCTTCTTGTGAACGCCCTTGGTTGTGTGTTTAAGTGCCCTTTCATAGCAACTGAGAGAATCATTGCTCTGAAAGAACAAGGCATATGTACTTGGTAATCTGCAAAAATAATTTACATCATTTTTTGGAAGCATTAGTTTTACAAAATAGTTCTTATTTTAAATTATTTTCGGTAAATTTATTCGGATTCTTCTCATTTTAAACTATATTTTTAAAATTTTCTTAAACGAAAAAAAAAAAAAAAAGAAATTAGTTAAATATGAGTTCGAAGAGAAATAGTTTCAGAATATTATTAAAAACAGAAGTCTGCTTTAGAGGGCTTAGAAAAAAACCTTCCCAACCCGAGATCTCACAGGTCACGTGATGTCAACTGGGGTGGTGAGGTCTGGGGGTGTTGAATAGGCTCAGAACGCATGCGTAGTTCAACGACGCCCTAAATGAACTGATGGAATTCACTAAACGCGGTTCTCCCAAACTCTTCATTATGCGGAGGGGAGGGGAGGAATTCGATACTGAAGAAGAAAACTGCATTTACTTGCCCCCCTCCCCCTTTATGTTTTTTTTTCTTAAAACTGACACCCACTGCTTGGTTTGGAATCGTGGAACTTAACAGATGAAAGAAAAAGTGACTGTGAATGGAAAAACCGAGAGATATCCATACGGTTTTTCAGTTGCGGCTTACATAGGCAATACAGTATTTTATTTCGTTCAGTTTTCCCTTCTGGTATCATATTCGATTGTTAAATGTAAAATAAATTAGCTGTATCAAGTTTTAAAAAAATGCTAGGACATCAAATGGACAAATATATGAATTCTGATTTTTTTTTTTTATGATACAGGTTTTACACACACACTCACTGAATTCTTTTTTTCAATTCCTACTATAAGTTAATAATTTCCCTATAGTATATATATCGTGTTCAGATTTTCAATCGTTAATAAAATACTTTCTATTTATCCATTCACGTTCAAATACATTATTTTAAACTTGTGGTGGATGACACTTGATGTTAATACAGTTTTTCAAATATTAATCTATTAATTATATTTAATTAATGAATAAATAGCAACAAACAAAAATAATAGTCCAACACCATATATAGAAAGGAAAATCGCTCATTGTGTTACTGTAGCGCAATACATAGCGTGTTGGACTTCTAATCCAAAAGTCGTGGGTTCGAATCCTAACTAGAATGGCCTAATCGATGAAAATGTGTTTTATGAATGAATAAATAGTAACAAACAGTCGTTAGTTGTTTAGCCTGTAGTTTTTTCTTTTGGAATTGTAAGATTTCTATATTGTAGATCTCAATATAAATGTAGTTGTAATTTATAACTATTCAACTTTCAAAAGATTAAATCTATAAATTTAGTTTTACTTTCAAGGTATCAAACTGTGCTTACAAACTTTATTCTTTTTTTTAAAAAAAAAGCTGGATTTAATTTATTTCAAAACGTAAATAATCTGAGACATGTATTTTGATTTACAACATGATGAACCAGTAGCGTAAAACGTATCAATCATACGAAAGAAAATTAGGAAAAAATTTAAAAAGCACTTGTCGATGTATTAAAATACCACTTAAATTCATCGTCACTTTATCGTGTAAGCAATGGTTGGTTTATATTGGCTTATTAATGTAAAGTCTTATAGACTAAACAGACCTTCAATGATGAGCTTTAAACTTTTAAACGTATTCAAATGATATAAATATTGCATTTGATCAAATATCTCATAGACATACCATAACCTTGAGTCTTGGAATTTAATTTGAATTAATTTAAAGTGCATTACATTTTATGATTAAATAGTGTAAGTCGAGATTTAAACTTTTGATCTATCAAAGTCAAAAGTTATAATTCACTACAAAGCTGTTATAATTTTTTTCATTAATATTTTTAAAGGATAAGTAAAAAAAAATAAAGAGAATTTTCTGTCTTGAGTTAAGACAAAGTAAAAATCGTTTGGTTATTATATTTTTTAAAGTTTTAAAACAGTTATCAAAAAGCAGAAACTATCAGTTCCAAAGTTATTTAAATTAAAATTCGAATCTTATCATTTTTAACTGAACAACTTTAAAATGTGAATGATGATATATAAATATTAAATTCAATAGAGTCATACTAATTTTTATGAAAATTCTGAATTTTTAAGAAATATTTAACTATTACGATTTATTTTATATATATACATATGTATTTACAATCCAAAATTTATAAATAGCCTTTACTGATTCTTTCATCTTATTCTTGTTGCAGTATTTCAATGGGTTAGTTGAGACTGCTAAATCTACAGTCACGTGTTTTGTGACTGTGTTCAAGAAGAAAGAAAAAAACGCGTGTTGAGTTCAAACTAAACACAGCATAAAAAAGTTATTATACAGAGTTGCTAAAACTGACGAAGAAGTTTGAGAAGAAATTAATTTGAATGAAGATAACTTAAGTAAATGTTGCTCATATTTTAAGAGTTACAAATAGTTTAAAAATAAAAGAAGAAAAGTATGTGCATATTTTTTTTATTGGAATAGAATAAAATATGAAATACTTGAATTAAAAAAGGGAAATAAATCAAATAATAGTCAAAGAAAAAAATACATATAAGGAAATGAGACATAGATAAACGCTTTCGATTAAAATAAGATACCATTAAATGTAGATACAGAGGCCCAGTGGTCGTATAGGACTTCCACATCACAAGTCCGGGGTTCTATACTAGGGCTGGGCAAGATCGTCTCAGCCTTTCATCCCTTTAGTGGGTCAATAAATGAGTACCAAGCTTGCTTGAGGACTAAACACTGGGGGTTTCGCTTCAGACTGACCACCTGATCGGGACATCTGCTCATGCACCTCAGTGCCCAATCACGCATACTGAGATGGGCACAATAGACCTTGGCCCTCATGTGGTGTTGCGCCACTGAGTTCAGTTTAGATGTAATAGATACATGTATATTTTCTGTGTCTAACTTGAATTATTTCTTTGTTTTGAAAAAAAAAGAGTGTTTGAACTGATAAAAAAAATCCCTGGTTATTCGAATTACAGTTTTCGTGAAACTGAAGGGAAAAAAATGTTATAAGTTATAAAGATTATACATCTAGATGTAATCCAGAGATTCCCAAACTTTTTTGTCTCATAAACCTCTTTCCATGTTTTTCAGTTTGAAGTAGACCCCCCAGCTTACCTAATATTGAATTTTTTCGAATTTACCTACTTGAATGTCTTTTTGACAGCTGGTATAGAGCTACTTACCTTAAACGATTTAAATTCGTAACTGAAGTGAAGTATAGTGTTTGAACCTTAAAAAAACATGTTAATTAAATTAAAATTTAATTAATACATAAAATAACTTGAGGTCAATCTTGTCAGGTTTAACCTTAAATCTCCTTGGTTACTAGTGTCCAGCCTTTATTTCCCCCAGTTTCTTTTTTGTTTTGGAAATTGGCAACCCCGCTGAAACTTCTTACTAGGAAAAGTAATCAAAATTTTTCTCATGATATTCCATAATTCGAGATAAATAATAGGTATGTGTGTCTTTTTAAAGCCAAAATTCCTGACATGGTCCTTGCTTTAATAAAATATATGCTGTCACATTGTAACTGCAAATTTACTTCATTAAAATTAGTAAGTAAATCTATTAAATAGATAAATCTAGTTTCCACTTGACTAAATTTTCTTTTAAAATTAAAATCTTCATTTGGTTTAATGAGAGTCACTGTTATAGACCCCCATTTACATCTCATGGACCCCCAAACTATTTTTTCGCTAGTGTGGACCTCTTGAAGGTCATCATAGACCCTTGGGGGTCTATATAGACCACTTTGGGAATCACTGATGTAATCGATTGAAAATTAAATTGGATAATATTGCTGCAAATTTGAAAGGGAATAACATAACAATTTGAATAATAACAGATTTATTAATGGATGAAGACGACTACATAAGTACTAATCAACGCACATGTAAAAAGAAATATTATAACAGATTAATTACAATAGTGCAAAATGCACTCGTTATATATAAAAAAAAGCTTCATAACGTTCCAGAAACGCAAGCATGAACTCTAAGATATAAAGTCTCTCGCTCTTATTGCAGTCACCGCACTAACAGATTCTGATCTCGACTCAACTCTCTTCTGAACTGAACTGACCTTTGCTTCAAGGGTCCTTTATATAGCCTCATGGTAATTTCTCGAAGAGACGATTCCAGAGCCTTCTCGATGATTTCTTGGCGATATCGTATTTTTCGCGAAGTTTGTTCCCAAGGGTGATAAAGTCGCCAATCTGTGGTCACCTTGGTCATATCTTCTAAGGTTTCCATATTCTTAATTTTCAAGTTCAAGCTGGGAAGCAAGCTTTTTCAGTAAAACGTAATTTTCACGCAAGAAGAGTATTGACGCTGGGAGAATAACATATGTAGCGTGTTTCA